AGAACGTTGCTGCGCATGCGCAGGAGAGGAAACGGTCGCGCGCGAACCCTCTGCGCATGCGCAGCAACGTTCTGCAGCGGCGTTAGAAGGCGGCGCGTCGATCGAGCTCGGCCGCGATCGACGTGATCGACGTGATCGCGCGATGGAAGTTAGCTGAAAAGGACGCACCCCAGGTGTGAAAATAATGAATTCTTACATAATTACGATATTTGTTTTCGCGCGCGCGCGTTCGCTCAGGCTCGGCGTCGGTGGTGCTGGTGAGGCATGGCACATAGCCGGCTAGCCTTCCCTGAGGCGTTGCCTAAGCGCGTGCCTCCCGCCGCCGCCGGCCGTTTAGCCGAGTAATTTATTGCAAATTGAGCCGGACAGGGCAGGGCCGCACCCCCGCTCCGCCCCGCCTCGCCAGCAGGGAACATTGTGGTGCTTGAGCACCACCGGGTCGCCACCATGTCCGTCGTGCAGTTTGTCATCCGGGGGGCACGGTCAGCGGGTTGGGGCGCCCCGCCGCCAGGAACATACGATGATGGCGCACTGCAGTGGGCTTTCTCTCCGCATCATACGCTGGAGAAGAAGAGACTGTGCAGCGGCAACGCTCAGTGATCGGATTAGTACAACCGAGGGAAAACTACCGGCAGAGCTGGTCTGAAGCAGGAGGAAGATGAGGAATGCTTCGGTGCCACCCACAACCCACCACCAGACAGAGAGATGCATCTGCTCACGTCGCGACAGGTTAGCGGGCGGGAGAGCGCTCTCCTTGTCGCAGAAACTACATACTTCCGGACCGCGCAAGAGGGACTTCCCTTGTCCCTTCGTGACGGCGGCTGGGTGTGGAGTAAGTGTGTGGACAGCTCGAGGGCGGCGGCCATAGCGACTGTGAGTCGATGATGAAGCTCGCCGAGAGCAGTGAGATCACCTGCGACAAGCGCCAGCACCGCCCTGCTCTCCCGGACCTGACCCCTCTCGGACGGGACGCGACTGTACAGCATCACGGCGGAGCCGCTCTGGACCGGACACGTCACTCGCGTCGGTGACGTCGAAAGCGCAAAGAGATGACGGCGGACCCGCCTCGGCACCACGCCATCGTGTGAATCATATGCAGCAGCAGCTGGAGCGGGGCGGGGCGGGGCGGGCGCACCGAGGAAGGAAACTGCTCAGCTGACCCGGCTGCCGACACGGGCGTAGTTTTGGAATGACGATCGTTTTAATTTTACGCCGAAGGTGCTAGCATCTTGTGTGCTAGACAATCCGAGCGGCGGCGTCGGTGTCTTGCGTGCGTGCCAGGTCTTCAGTCGAGACGCGGTTCTTTCTATCGTAAATATTTTATTTTACTGACCAATACAAATTTATACAAAATGTGCATGAAGTAAGGAAATAATACTAACAGTGGATGGAATGTACTCTCGTCATCACATACAAACTAAAAAAAGAAATGGCAGTAGAAAAAAAAGGGTCTTCTCTTTTGTTCAGTAGACAATTAAGTTTTACAGTTAAGTAAAATGGACGGAGCAGTCAAAAACAAGCGAGAAAAAGACATCCATATTTCTATTGGGTACATTGGACCACAAACAACTGCACTGATGTGCTTTTATCAGTAAGGAGTTACAATAATAAAAACTTTTGGAAAAAAATATGATTTTAAACATAACAAACCACAAACTCAAATACTGGTAAGAGGAAACAAACAGATCACCCTGAACTCTAATTCAACATGCTCAAGTTTTCCATTTCTTTGAACACAATCAATTCATAAGATATCAATATAGTTACAATTTTGAATAATCACTTCTATTCAGGAAGATTCTAAAGAGTGTATAAACAAATGATAAAGTATTTAGTTTTTAAAGGGGTGAAAACTGTACACTTAAAATATAGCAACATTGTGAAAACAAAATAGTTCTAAAACTAACATACTGGTAATCGTAATATTTTTAAAAATATTGTTAAGAAAAGAAGCGCATCTTGTGGACGGATGGTTCAGTACTCTGATATCAGTCTAATGTTAGTTGTAGTAAAATAATCGAATCTGTAGATATAAATACATTGCTGAAGGCACAATGTGAAAAATTTCTAAAATACAAGACTGCTCATTAAACAGCTCAGTAAATGTGCGCAATACACCTGAGGGCAAAAACCTCACAGGAATATTTATCTTTTGTTGATTTATAATAGCTAGAGTTAAAGTAATAAAACATATGAAACATTTGAGTCATAACACTTCAATGTGATAATTATATAAAGAGATGAAATCACTTTAAAAAGATTGAAACTCTTATTTCAATGACATCTTTTAGAAGTCAGAATAAGTACACAATAGTGTATTTTACAATGGGTGACTGGGCCTTATTTGGCCTGGTTCTCTCAATTCAAGTCACAGTGTCACCTGATTGGATCTACCGTACAATCACTTTTTAAAAAATGAGATTACAGAGGAGATCTTTAAAATTTAATGACATAATAGTTACTGAATAGGTGAGGTGGACACAGTACCATGAGGCGTAGTGGGTCTTGATCCAGCAAGAGAATTAGTAGTTGATGCATTTAAAGATGCCATAGTCCCCATCTGTAAATAGTATGAAGATGGCTAAAGCAAGTCAGTTTGAAATAAGTATCGTGACAATACTATAAAAGTGAACTTACCCGTAAGTGAGCATAATCCTCGATTTTAGACAGTTGTCGCAATTCCAGGAATAGAGAATAATTAAGAACCCATCCATATACATTTATAATTGAAAACAAAGACCACAAAAGCGTCATGAGAATGTTGTAGCCGAAAATGAGATCATTGACAATTGACGCAAACAAAAAGGCAAAAAGGCGGAAAAGTGTGAAGACAGCAAATGCATACAACCAAGGTACCATCTTATGCTCATGTTCCTGAAACAGAAAATATTTATAAAGGTAAATCAGTAATCGGTTTCATAACACTTGCTTTGTCATGCAGACAGCACACAAATATTGGTCACTTACCTTTCTTAGAGCAGAAATGAGAATGCAGCTTGTAACAAGCACTGCCAAACCCATAATAAGTGAGAAAAGGGCAAATGCAATGAGGCAATTTCGGACTGAAACATTAGAAAGTAATTCAGTCAGAAGAGACACAGAATTTTATAACTAAACAGGAAGATAAAAAGAAGTTTAAACTCACCATGTTTGTTCCCAACATATACAAACTGGTAGCTTATGATATAGTAACCGTAATGAGTTGAACCCGGCTCAGCCATTGCCAAACAGTAAATGTCAAACAGAGCCGTAATAACAGTGAAAATACTTAGAAGCTGCAAAAATACAATTTCCAGATCATTAGCCCGCAAATCATTGCATATAAAAGTATGATAACATTAAGAATTTTGCAAGTTGTGTGCTTGACATACCAATGAATAGAAGGCAATAAGTAGGCAGCCTCTCTGAATGTCAAGAATAATGGCATCTTGTAATATTGGCTTTTCATACCACTTCACTTTCAGTGACTTGATAGAACGAGCAGATTTTAAGCCAGCAGAAGATCGAGTCGTTGCATGGGTCATGTGCGAGTACACTGATGGTGTACCCATACTGGGATTTTTAGATTGACTGTAGTGCATTTTGACAACGCTGTACGGACAATAAAAGAAAAAAAAGGAAGATGGTCAGTATCAGCACATCTACAAAGGCTCCGCAGTATTAATAGTGTAAGAAGAAGCACAGAAATTCTGTCAGGGTGGGGCTTTGACAAAATGGAAAAAAAACACAAAGATAACGTAATTTAAAACTCGTTAAAATATACTACTTCAATTTAATGGTGAAGACAGTAATGTTAAGGTGAGAGTCATCTTGTGAACTCAAGAATAAATATTAATGAATTAGCAACAGATGCAAAAGAGACAGGTTATTTCTAGGGCGGTTCATTCCACTCTGCTTTAGTTCACTTTCTGCAATGTATAATATTTCATGGGAGAGTAACATAACTCATTCGATTTAAAAGTCGAATAATGCAAGATAAGACAGTAAAACATATAGCATTGAGAACAAATTACACTAACTGTTGTTGTTGATGTTTGGTATTTTGAAGTGACAACAAATACCTCAGGTCAGAGGCGTGGTCATACACTATCTTTTGTTATAAACTACAAACACCAACCATTACCACAAAAAATCCGTCAAAAAATTGAATAAGTCGAACAAATCAGAGGTTTCAAATCCACAAAAACATTATTGAAACGTAATTTCGTACAAAGTTAATTTCATTTTAATGCCTTGTTTCGTTAAATTTTATTGTTTTATTTTGTATAGTAAAACTGCAGGTTGGTACTTTGTACCATACAGTCTAATTACCAACTTCAGTTACAAAAAGTTTGGAAAGTATTTAGATTTGAGCTAATACCCTTCCCAGTTGTATAATTTAAGAAATATGTTTATGCTAAGAAACAATGACAGATGCATGAACTAAACCTTTTTGAAGATATCATAATTTTTTTACGTTTATTTCTGTCTTGTTAGGTTAGCTAGTGAAGCCAGGTAGCGGGTGGTTTAAATCAGTACCTCTCGTCGACACCATGGTTACTTCGTAACTTCTGTTCAGTGTTCAGCCTTGAGAGGGGCCGCCCTTTCTCAAGGTTCAGCGCTCGGACATCAAATTTTAGTCTGTTAGTGAAACTTGAAACTTAAAGCCATGGAGTCCGGGCAAACCCAGTTTGAGTATGAAGAGCAGTTCAGGCGTTATCTCCTCATAGCAAAAAGCTTTGTAGGACGCTTGCAAAAACCCCATGGTACTAGCTCATCAACTCCATAAATCACTTTCAATAATTTTATGTTAATACTTGTATGGTACATACAATATTACAGATAGAAAAATTTGTAAGCATTGGATTCAAAGGATTATCTGCTTGACTCCTTGCAGTGTTACAGTTGGCAGAAATCGTAACATATTTTTCCAATATCTCCTACAGGTAAGTTGCATCAAACATTGAAAGAATTCCTCACAACTTCAGAATTAAGTTATGTACCAACATTAAATTTTGCCTTATTAGGTAATTCAGGAAGCTGTCCTGGAAGACATGCTTAAAGATTCTCCGGATCACATCCTTTGGGACTTCCAGCACTTACCTGTACAGGTCCGAACACAATTTCTTAGTTATATTTTAGGCACCTGCTTCTCTAATAATAACCTTCATTCAGGGTATGAGGATAGTCGAAAACCCTGCTTGGCTTGAAAGAGAGCTTGACGTCCCTGAGATTGAAGAAAATGTTGCAGAGTCTGAGCCTAAGGAACCATATTTTGCTCATTGGTCCCATGATCAAAAAACGTACATTGCAGCCAAGGCTTTGCCTGGGAAAGGAGCCTTGATATACATGGCTGTCTCTAAAGACCCATCATTAGGATGGAGCAATCTTGCAGATTAAAATAAGTAAGACTTATTTATAACAACTTGAACAGAGTAAAGTCAATTTATTTACTTCAACAATGACACAACAGGAAACTTCCATTAGCAAAAAGAACTTAACAGTGGGCTTGAGAGAGAAAATTGAACTGAGAAGAAATGAATATATAACGGTCAAAAGTTTTTGAGAATGTTCATAAATAAAAGGCAGGTACAACGGTTCATCTTCTTTTGCGGCCACCTCCACCCTTTTTCCCTGCACCTCCATGAGCTCTAACTTTACCAGCTGGCTTACCAGCTGGTTTACCAGAAGCCTTCCCTGGTTTGCCACCGCCGCCACCACCAAACTTTCCTTTCCCCTTCTTGCCTCCACCAGCACCAGCACTTCTTTTCTTCCCACCACGACCTGCTTTAGGCTTCTGTGATTTTTTCTCTTCAGATCGCCTGCAAAAAGAGGAGAAAAGGTACAGATTAAATGATTTACCAATTATTAATGAACACTGACTAAGTAGCGTCTGAACATAAGTCACGCTCAACGTTCAGATAAGATCAAAGCTTTCTCGGGTTTCAGTGCCCAGCCAAAGTGGGAATATGGAAGACTCAACCACAGTCAGCAGTGCAATGGGCTCCAAGCCTACTTTTATCATCATCATAGCATTGAGTGAAACATCAGTGTGACTATCAAAAGGTGCAACAAGGCACATCCTGCATTCAGATAAGATCAAAGCTTTCTCAGGTTTCAGTGCCCAGCCAAAATGGGAATCTGGAAGACTCAACCACATTCGGCAGTGCAATGGGCTCCAAGCCTATTTTATCATCATAGCATTGAAAGAAACATCAGTATGACTATCAAAAGGTGCAACAAGGCACATCCTGCATTCAGATAAGATCAAAGCTTTCTCGAGTTTCAGTGCCCAGCCTAAGTAGGAATCTGGAAGACTCAACCACAGTCGGCAGTGCAATGGGCTCCGTGCCAGTCTTCTCATCACAACACAAAATTGGATGCAAACAGTTCCAGTAATATTTTAAAATACCAATAAAAATGTATTTGAACTTACTCTGAATCTTGATAATGCATCTCCCTATTAACAGCAGCTTCCAAATCAATTTTAGGCTTTTTATTTAAAATTTTGTCTATGATGTCAATATTAGACTTTCTCTCCTGCTGTGGAGTCTGAAACAAAATATTTAAGTAAACAGAACCATTCTAAAAAGAGAAGTAAAATATTAGAGAAAGTTTGTATATTTCCTTACAAGATTTGGCTTTTTTCTCTTGGCAGCTGGTGCTACAGGCATAAGACTCTTTACATCTCTTGCTGGCTTTTCCTTGGGTAAACTTTGCTGGAACTTCCCAACCGAGGCAGTTGAAACCTTTGCCACAGTAGCTGCTTTGTGAAGCTGGAAATTTATCAACGATTACTAATACAGCCAAAAATTAATATTCTTGCATAAAATTACAAATGATAAAATATACATACATCCTTAGTTGAAGGTCTGTCAGTGGACAACATTCCTACTCTAGGTATTTTGATCTTGCGTGCTTTCGCAATATTTCTCATTCGCTGAAGCTCGTTTTTAGCAACTTTTTCATCCTTTATCTTCTTTTTCTTAGCAAACTGATCTTCCATTGGGTCAGCATTTCCAGGTAACTCTATTAACCAATCCTTCTGTTCCTCAGCAGCTGCCCGTTTATAACCGTACCTTGGTATCCATTTCTGAAAAACACAAAATTTAAATTTCCTATCGCAGAAACTGAGAAGAACAATAAAAACAATTCTATTCACTTACCTTAAGTGTTTCATCCCAGAGCAACTTGGCTTTTTTGTTCTTAACAATGCCCTTTTCTTTAGCAAACCTTTCCCATTTGGTAGGTTCTTTAGGTTTCGGAACTGGAAGAGATCTCGGAATCAGATATGATGGTTTGGGTAGTTCGGCAACTATAGCTTCATCTACACGCTTTGTAGGCAGCTCCCAAACTTTATTTAAGAGTAACTGTGTGTTGTCCCTTGTCAAATCTCTGAGGTAATCATTTGTTGCGGACCTGGTTACAAAAGAAGTTAGTATGAGTGATATACTTGTAAGCACAGCATGGAAGGTGATGTTTGACAATCTCATATTGTAAATACACATTTCCGTAGGAAATGTCAAATGCTGGTGAGCAAGACGGGTGAGGGTAACTAAACACATGGAGTCTAGTGATGGAGTCCTCGAATTTTCACCGAGAGTTCAAAATTACTTAGCAAGAAAACAACATACTAAGGAGTACTAACCTTAACTTTCTGGTATCTAACTCATTTGTGTCGAAAGCAAGTAAATTTCCTACGTCAAATTCAACTTCCAAGTGCTTCTCAACTGTAATAGGTTTAAACTTCTCTGCTTCCCTCGCTGCTTTTTGCAGAACTTCGTTTACGATATCCATGTTGTTGGAACACTATGGCCAAGTACGCATTGCTACTGAGGAGAACCTAACCTACGGCCACGAGGTGAAGTGAAACACGAGAAAGATGGCGTCAGAAAGAGCTCGTAACACTACAAAATTTTCGAGACGTCCCTTGCCTCCTGGCAGGCACCCAGACAGCAAAAACAAAGGCACTACAGAATAATTTCCAAGGAGTTCACGGAGATAAACTGTGTGATGATATTAAGCAATCGTTTTAAAAAATATTCTTAAGTTCCCACAACTAAAGTTTCGAAATTTTCTGCTTCTTTTCTGCTTTAAAGCTGTTCACAGGTTGGTAATGATCAATGTCAATCAAGCGTCAGCTGGTGTATCTCCCGCCAAAACACGGCTACGCCGACGTCGCTGACCTGACAACTCCAAAATCTGAATTTTATAGTTAATTTGTTTTTATTCTGTGGCTTTTATCTGTAGGTTCACTTAAAGTTGGTTAGTTGCGGTATTTTGAAAAAGATTGTGGGGTTGGAAACTTTTTTTTGATAGAAGACAGTTATTGAAGAATTTTAATAATGTGTTTTTTAATGTCTTGTTTTATGGTTAGCCGCCCACTTGTAGGATTTTAACTTTTTATGGGCACCGATCGACTACTTTTGTGCCGTCTTTCATCTCTATTGCTATCATTTTATTACACTTTGTTATGATAGTCAAAACTCTTACATATGGAGAACTATCTGAAAATTGAGAAGATAGGGGAAGGAACCTATGGTGTTGTGTACAAAGCTCGGTGCAAGAAAACTGGAAAATGGGTTGCCCTTAAGAAGATTCGCCTTGAAACGTAAGTCTTTAAGACCTCAATGCTTTCAGTTATTTTGCCTCAATACTTTCTGTCGAGAGCACGAGTCCTTCACTTGATATTGGTTTCGTCAACTGTAGCAATGTACAAACCCATTTGATAATATTGTACAAAATATCTGTAAGATTACATCGTAGCTATTATGTAGACATATCTTTAAAACTTTATTTCTGTGCTGCTTGTCTTATTTTCTGCAGTGTTTCAAAACTTATGCAGCTTATTCTTGTTGAATACTAGTTCTCCTTGTGTGCTAACATGTTTTAACAAAACTAGCGAAGGTATACAGTATGTATTAACTTGTTATCGCTTTCATGAAGAGAACGCTTCCCTGATTATTTAGCGAAAATAAACTAAACATTTGTCATCCCACATTTAAATTTCCCGCCTTGTTTTGCAGTTTCTTTTCTTTTTGCGCTGAGAGTAAGAGTCACAACATTATTTTTTTTTAGAAAAACAACCCCCTTTTTTTGTCAGTTTTCTAAAGCAACCTAGATTTTCTCAATTGTTGGCAATGCTATTTTCCTCTTTGCAAAGTATTTTATTACCTATCCAAAAAAAATGTTTCTTATTGTACCAACTTGTCAATCTGAACTTGTGTTCAACATGGACCTCCTTATGGAATTCCCTTATCTCAGTTTTGATCAAGGATAATATTTAAGTATTTAAGACATTTTCCTTTAATGACCCTATGAAGTGTAAAGTCTCTGGCTGCCTACAAATTGAGAAACAGAAAATGAGAAGTGTGGCAAGACTGTTGACCTATAATAGGAAAATTTTAACAACTATGGCGGACCGTCACAGATCCAGCATGCTCCAGCCGTTTTCTTTCCTGATTTTTGGCATTATCGATTCTTTCTATCGAGGAAATAGTCACCTTTTAACTTATTTTGACTTATTTCCACCATGATATTCTCTATTTGTCTAAATTTGATGTGTTACTAACGTCTTGCTCTTCATAAGTCAGGTATGCGCTGGTTTGCAAGGATTTCGCGTTGCGTCGATGGTCGTGAAATTATGTGGACTGCTTGATCTGTAATGTTTTCCTTTGCACTTGTACATAACATGTCATTTCCTCTTGTTTCCTGAATGATACATGTAATCTGCAATCCAAGCACTGTAAATGTGGGCTTTCGAGGTTATGTGTCAAGTTCTTATGCTTTTGTTCAATAACATTGAATTCAAATTGACTTTAACTGAATGAGTAATCTAAAATTGATTTTCGAACAGAGTCAAAATTAATGTAGCCATTACAATTGACATGAGTCAGTTTTTATGTTAAAGCTTCACTTACAAGACAATTATTGGATGATTGTATCTTGGCCTACTGCATGAATTTCATAAGAACTTTCACAGTGTGGGGATTATATTGGCAAAAATAAATTTCTCTGGAGCTGAGTCATTGCTTGCTGACTTATTACAGGGTTTTATTTCTTGTCTTTAATTCTGGTTTCTGAACTTACAATGCCAATCAACATTAGGATGACCACTTCATGTTCAGTGAGCCCTGTTTCTGTGTGTGTCTAAAATGCTTGTTTATAAACCCAATGATTTACTCTTACTTGCTTCATTTCCTCTTTTTCTGTAATTAATGTAGCTCTTTAATATAAATTTTAAAACTATTCACTTTATTTAGCAATATCTCATCCTGTGAAAGCAAAAAAGATGCGGAATATGGGGAACAAGACATTGAAAATCACCATGTCCTAGCATAATGATTTCCAATTTCTTGTTCTCTGCTTCTTTCTCATTTGTTCCGAAAGTGAGCTCTCCCCACCACTTTCCCCACCCTTCCCCGCATGTTTTCCCCCAGGCAAGGAGAGTGTTTGCCCCCAGGCAAGGGGGACATGCTGGGAATGGTGGGAAAGTGGTGGGGAGAGCTCACTTTCGGACCGAATTTTAGCTTTACTGGCAACATTTAATGAATATGAGCCATTATCTTTGTCATATTTTGACCATTTAGTTTTGTCTGTTCCTTTACTTCAGTTTTTCATCCTCTTTTGTTACCCAGCCATTCCATGTCAATTTATTTTCATTTTTATATATTCTCATAGAAATTGACTTACAGTTTCAAGGGGATTGAAAGTCCACTGTCTGACCAATCTGTTCTGATTGTGAAGCATCTGCTTAGCTGGATCTTGCGATTGCTGCGTGTACATTGGAAATCGTAGCACCACATGATTCAGCTTAGTTTGTGTTTTCACTTGTTCCGTACCAACTAACAACTGCTTCTCCATTAACAACGCTCCTCACCTTGTCATGACCTCTGCTCTTTTGCCTGCCTGGAGCACGTGCCTGCCTTTCTGTGGTGTTCTTTGCCGGGGATGTTCTGGTGTCTTGCTGTGCCTGAAGCTGCTTTCAAGATGTGCAATTTCCAAAATGTATTTGTCTAAGAAATTCCTGTTAGAACTGTGCAGTGTCCAGCTATGTTGTTAATACTTGTAAAAGTGTTAAGAAAATACTGAAAATTCTTTTCAAAGTCATTCTACTCAATTATTGTTTTTGTTTTCAGTGAGTCGGAAGGTGTACCTTCTACTGCACTCCGAGAAATTTCCCTTCTCAAGGAACTCACTCATCCTAATGTTGTTCAATTGTTAGATGTAGTTCACTGTGAGAGGAAACTTTTCCTTGTTTTTGAATTTCTTACACATGATCTTAAGAAATATCTGGACTCTTATAAAGATGGTCTCCCACCTGAATTGGTCAAGGTATTATTGAATGTTAATTTTCTTAAAGATTACTGGCTTTTGACCACTTCCGAGATTGGATTGTTCTCAAACCAATTTTATTCTTCTTGGCAAACAGAGTTACCTGCACCAGCTTCTTTTGGGTATATCTTATTGCCATCAAAATAGAGTTTTGCACCGGGACCTCAAGCCTCAAAATCTTCTCATAGACATGGAAGGATATATAAAGTTGGCAGATTTTGGATTGGCAAGAGGTTTTGGCATGCCTGTGAGACCCTACACTCATGAAGTAGTGACCTTGTGGTACCGTGCCCCTGAAATCTTGCTCGGCACAAAGTTATATTCTATGGCAGTTGATGTCTGGAGTCTTGGTTGCATATTTGCAGAAATGGTGATTATTTCGTACTTTGTATTTGTTTATCCATCTAAAAGTACATCTCTGAGCAGTATTTTATTTTTAAAATTTTATTGTTACAGACCACAAGGCGACCTTTATTTCCTGGAGACTCAGAAATAGACCAGTTATTTAGGGTTTTCCGTACCTTGGGTACTCCAGATGAAACAAAATGGCCGGGAGTGTCTCAGCTTCCTGACTACAAATCCATGTTCCCTAGATGGGATCCTCAGGACATCCGAGAAGTCCTTCCATCGATGGATGATGATGGAGCAGATTTGTTTCTGGTTTGTTCTTTAATGCATTGCATCGCTTGAATTTTTAATGAATCTCATCTTTCCTACAGTAATCATTTTTTTTCTTCTTAGAAAATGGTGACTTATGATCCAAGCAAGCGTATTACTGCTAAAGAGGCAATGGAACACCCTTACCTGAAGAATGTGAAATTTGTAGCTCCATCCCCTCTACCTCATGACGATGAGTCTTGCAGTGGAGCTTCATCTAGAGGTACATCAGAAGTAGAACGCATCGTCTAGTAGGGCAATTCCATGAAATAAATATAAAATTGCAAGTGACAAAGAGACGCTACATGTTGTTGCATCACATAACTAAACTCATTTGGAGACCAGTCATCTGTTATAGCAATACGTAGCACGCCTCATTCGATTAGAATTGCCGTCACTTTCAGGTACTTCTTCATAGAATTGCCCAGTAGAAGAAATTGGCCCTCCATTTAATAAAATCTTCTTTTACTAAGGGCTGTAGTTAATTTTAGTGCTTAAATTTTTTTATTGTGTTTTATTGAGATTGTGATATGCCAGTTTTAGGGGAATTTTAATTATCTACCAAACATTCAAGTTACTCAACTAATCAATTTCTGCTCAATGAACTGGAAGTACTTCCTTCTGTGCAAGTCTTATTTATTTGCTCATTTACCCCATAAATTTTACTCTTAAGTAATTCTTCCAACTTCATCCGTATCATAGCTTTAAAATTTTATGAAGCCATTAAACATAATATGTGCGTAGGCACTTTTTATCTAAAGTTACTTTAGACAAAACTTCAATTCTGGTGCTTGTAGTCATTAAGAACTGTGTGATCATTAGTTTGAAACACGTAAAGAAAAGAAGCGTTCTGAATGTTTTTTTCCATGTGTTCTCTGTAAGCTTTGGACCAATGTGAAGTGTTTTTTAAAAAGTATGCATTGTATCCTAAATTTGGACCAATACCTAATAAATGTAACAAACCTTTAGCATAGATAAGAAGCCATGTCTTACATATGTGTAAACACGGTGTTTTAGAGTAAAATGCGATGATGTGCCAATGGGGACCAATGTGTGATGTGATGTTTTCAGAAAATGTTAATAAACTCCATCTAGAATGTCTCTATTTTAATTTATTACTGCCATAAATAATTATATACAAGAGACCTGCAAGCAACACATTTTCATAAGTCTGTATTTTAATTTCTAAGTTTTTATTCACACAGAGTAGGATTTGTTTCTCATCTGAGCTGTGTACATATCATTGCACAACTTGCTGCATTTATGGTTTTCCCAAAGAATGAAGCTCTTTAGGCAGCTTTGCATTTGTCATGAGCGTTTGGTGACATTTCTTTAGTAATTGATTTATCATGAAAATCTAAAATATCTCTGTACCTGTTGATTTTGCACTAAGCGCTCACAAGAAATTGAACAAGCTTTACTACCACGACTTTTCCTTTAGACACAATATCAGAGTCAGATCTATATTTATCTATTACTATTGGCTGTGTTCAGATGCCTCACTGGTCAATTTTTGTCTTGATTTCTGTTTGCTGTGAAAATGTTTTCTGGTAGACCTGCATTTATTAGGTGAGGGGTCTGAACGCACCCGTTATGGCACATTTTGCATCTATGTGTCATGGGATTTCAACATTGAAAGCTTTATCAATAATGTGGAATCCTTTCGAATTCATATTTAAAATTTGATTCCAGAATCACATTTACGATGAGGGGCTTTGTCCTGCGCGTTTCCCTTGAAGGCGCTAAGGGTGGGTGGCCGATGCTTGGCCGACCCGGTAACTCATGACACCACCACGTTAACGGGTAACATGTCAGGGAAATTTATCTGATCACACTAGCAGCTTGCCGTTGACACAGGCTGGACCCTTGGACGGCCAGTTACACGCGCCAATAGAGGTGTCGTACGCCAGGTGGATGGGGCAGTTGAAGACGTTGACGGCGTACTTCTTCTTCCACTTGTCCCAGTTGCACGAGTAGAACTTGTTGCACAGCTCTGGGTGTCGGAACAGACCAGGCCGTTTGCACTCGACCACCCCGTTGACGCCCAGGTCGACCGTGTGTCCGGGGCCGGGTGTGACCTCGTCGACGACGGCGTTGGTGTCCTCCACCTCGGTGGCAACGGGTGACGGGGATGCCGAAGCGAGGTCGTTATCGGAGCGCGCGCGCGAACGGACTCTCGGTGAGGGACGCGCCCGCGACCTGGGCCTGGGCTGGATGACCACGGCCTCCGCGTCGTCCTCGTCGTCCTTGCTGTTGATCTGGATGGAGCGCGCCGTGGTGCGGCGGCCGGAGAAGCGCCTGCTGCTCGGCGTCGTCACCTCGTACACTCTGCTGCTCGTGCTTGAGCTCGGGCTCTGCTCGTCGTCGTCGTCATCCGGCTCGGCTGTGGTGGACACGTAGATGGTACTCTTGGCCTTGCCCGCGCGGATGTACGTGGTCCTGCCGCGCGCCCTGCCCCTACCCCTGATCGCCACTGTGCTCGACACGATGTCGTCCTGCTCGTAAGCTGCCGAGGACGACACGGTGCCCTCGGTGCTCGAGACGACCACCGCACCGAAGTCGGCCGCGTCGTCGTCGCCTTCTTCGGCGTCTGACTTTTCAGCGTCACGGATGAGCGCCAAGTCCTCGTCGATCTCGGCCTGCTCGGTGGAGGAGACCACACGGCCCTCGGTCGTGGACGACACGTAGCCCTCTGTTGTGGAGCGAGCGGTTGAGGAGAAGGCGTGGCCTGCATCGCCGTCCTTGGGGCGGACAACACGGACCCTCGAGATGACGCGCTTGACGCCGGTACGGCTCTTGCGACCGTTCTCAGCGCAGCTGCACTGCGCGCCCAGCTTGCCGATGAGCAGCGGGTTCACGTCACTGAGGCGTGTCACCACCACGATCTTAGTGCGCTTCCTGCCCTTGCCCTTGGCGCGCACGGTGCTCGAGCCGTAGCTCTCCGTCGTGGAGCTGGAGTAGCCTTCATCGCTGCCCTCGCTGTACTGAGCCGTGGTGCCGACGCGGACGCGGCCGGGTCGCCTGCTGCCGACTGCGCCGATGGCGGCCAGTGTGCTGGTCTCGATGACTTGGGCGAAGCCAGAGTACGCGTCCTGGTTCTTGACGCCGTACGCGCTGTCTTCGATGGCCTCCTCGGCGTTGATCTGCTGCTGCAGGTCCTCCTCGTAGCCGTAACGGATGTTGCCACGGGTGGGTCCGGCGGTGGGGGCTGCTGTTGAGCCGACGACGACGTCGCCGGCGTAGCCCTCGGATACGATTTGCTGCTGTTCCTCGATGTAAGCCGCGGCCGTGGTCGAAGGGCGCAGACGACGGACCGGCACGGGTGCGGGCGAGGTCTGGTACTGCACGTCCACTGTGGCAGGGACTTCGGGGGCGATCGGGTAGACGTCCACGGCGGGGGCGACGGTGGGGGTAGCCTGCTCCTGGCCCTGGACGTAGTTGTACTCGGACACAACATGGGACTTCTTCGCGCCGAACTCGACGCTCTGGACATTCTGCACGTCCTCCACGTTCTGCTCAACGTACGTGGCCGGTGTTGACACCTGGGTGACGACGTTCTTGACGACGGACACAGGGGCGGGCGTTGAGTAGTACTGCTGAGAATACACCTCGGGCCGCACGCTCGAGTAGTTCTCAACGACCTGCTGGTACTGCTGCTGCGAGCTGGGCGTCGACGACACCACCACCTCCTGATCCTCCACGTAACGAGTGGGCGCAGGCGTGGACGAGACCACGACCTGGTTGTAGCGCGCGGGCGGGGGCGCCGCCGTGTGGACGAAGAGAGCCACGGGTGGCTCCTGGTCGTCCACCTGTGTGAGCTGCTGCTGCTGTTGCTGCTGCTGCTGGACTTGGTATCCTCCGCGGTACTGGTTGGTTTGCTGCTCGCTCACCTGGCTCACGAGGCCAGCCTCGTACTTGGGTGTGGACGACACGTAGTTGAACTCGAACGCCGCTGGCGTCGAGGACACCTTGAGGCCGGCTGAGCTCTGGCTGCAGGTGGCGCAGGGAGGGGCGGGGGTGACCGAGTAAGCCACCTGCTGCTCCCTGTGCTCTGTGTAGCGGGCCGGAGCGGGGCTAGAGTAGACGTACTGCTGTTCGGTGTAGCGGGCGGGGGCAGGGGCGGGGGCGGGCGTAGACGAATAGACCACCTGCTGCTCGGTGTAGCGGGCGGGAGCGGGTGTGGACGAGTAGACCACCTGCTGCTCGGTGTAGCGGGCGGGGGTGGGCGTGGACGAGTAGACGTATTGCTGCTGCTCAGTGTAGCGAGCGGGGGCCGGGGTGGAGGACACCCTGAGCCCTGCCGTACTGAGGCTGCAGGTGGTGCATGGCACAGGGGTGGACGGCTCGTTGCCGTTGACGTATGTGTACGAATGCAACAGCGGCACCTGGCTGATAGCGGGGGCGGCCGTGGTGCTGGACACGAAGGGGTACAGCTTGGGCCTTTGGCTGAAACCTTGGTTCACGTTGAGCTTCACTGCCTTGACGGCCTCCTGACGGATGGGGTAGTTGGACGGCGTGCTGTACGAGTAGACGACCTCCTGGGCCTTGACGGCCACGGCAGGCTGTTGGTACTGCACTTGCTGTTGCACCTGGATGGCGGGGGCTTTGTACTCGAACTTGGTGACGGGCTGCACTTGCTTGACTTCCTGTTGGTACTGAACCACGGGCTGTACCTGCTGAACCTGCTCCTGCTGGTAGGAATGCACCTGGGCGTGCTGCTGGTACTGCGGCGCGGGGGCCTTGTACTCGAACTTTGTGACGGGCTGCACTTGCTTGATCTCCTGTTGGTATTGGATCACGGGTTGCACTTGTTTGACTTCCTGTTGGTATTGCACCACAGGCTGTGCCTGCTTCACGTGCTGGTAGGAATGGACTTGGGCGTGCTGCTGGTACTGCACAGCGGGGGCCTGGTATTCCACCTTGGTGACGGGAACCACTGGCTGGACCTGCTTCACCTGCTGATACTGTACGACGGGCTGGACCTGCTTCACATTCTGCTGGTAGGAGTGGACCTGGGCATGCTGTTGATACTGCACGGCGGGTGCCTGGTATTCAACCGTGGCAATGGGTTGAACTTGTTTCACTTCCTGCTGATACTGCACAACCGGCTGAACCTGTTTTACTTGCTGCTGGTATTGTTGGTACTGCACAGCGGGCGCCTGGTATTCAAACTTGCTGATGGGTTGCACTTGCTTGACCTCTTGTTGGTATTGGACCACGGGCACGACAGGCTGAACCTGCTTCACTTCCTGTTGGTACGAGTGAACCTGGGCGGGGGCGTGGTACTCGAACTTGGTGACGGCAGCAGGTGTCACAGGCTGGACTTGTTGCACCTCCTGTTTGTATTGCTTGTACTGTTGCAGATTCTGGTATTGGAAAGCAGGTGTTTTGTATTCAAATTTGGTGACAGGCTGCACTTGTTTCACTTCCTGTTGGTATTGCTGATATTGCACAGCGGGAGCCTGGTATTCGACCTTTGTAACGGGTGCGACGGGTTGAACCTGTTGCACTTCCTGCTGGTACGAGTGGACCTGAGCGTGCTGCTGGTATTGCAATGCAGGGGCTTGGTACTCCACCTTGGTGACGGGAACAACGGGCTGGACTTGCTTGACCTGTTGGTACTGCACGACGGGGACCACCGGCTGGACTTGCTTGTACTCTTGCTGATATTGAACCACGGGCTGAACTTGTTTTACTTCCTGTTTGTACTGCTGTTGATACTGTGCAGCGGGAGCCTGGAACTCGAACCTGGTGACAGGCTGCACCTGCTTCACCTCCTGTTGATACTGCTGGACTACAGGGACGACAGGCTGGACCTGCTTGACCTCTTGCTGGTATGACTGAACCTGGGCGTGCTGTTGGTACTGGACGGCCGGGGGTTGGTACTCCACCTTGGTGACGGGCACAACTGGCTGCACCTGCTTCACCTGCTGATACTGAACGACGGGCTGGACCTGCTTGACCTCCTGCTGGTATGACTGAACCTGAGCGTGCTGCTGGTACTGGACGGCCGGGGCTTGGTACTCCACCTTGGTGACGGGCACAACTGGCTGGACCTGCTTCACCTGCTGATACTGAACGACAGGCTGGACCTGCTTGTATTCTTGCTGGTAGTGGACAACCGGCTGGGCCTGCTTCACTTCCTGCTGGTACGAATGGACTTGGGCGTGCTGCTGGTACTGCACCTCGGGCGCCTGGTACTCCACCTTGGTGACTGGTACCAACGGTTGGACCTGCTTGACCTCCTGCTGGTAAGTGTGAACCTGAGCATGCTGCTGTTGGTTGTAATGTTTGATCTCGGGTTGATAGTATCCGTTTGGCTCCTGCTTGATGTCGACGATTCTGTGGTACTTGACGTTCTTGAGCGAGAAGGGCGCGGGCGAGCTGTACTGGTACTGCACGCTGTGGTCCACGGACCCCGGCGTGACGGCGTGCACCTGGTGCTGCACGTGCTGCTGCTGGGCGTAGCCGACCACCGCGGGGGCGGCGCTGGGCGTGGCGAAGGCCAGGGCTGGGGCGGGCGTCGGGGCGGGCGTCTGCTTCCTGATGAAGGAGTAGGCGGGCGCGGCGGTGACGGGCTGCACGGTGGGAGTGTAGGACACGTAGGCGGGAGAGGCGGTGGGCGTGTAAGACTGCACGGCGACGGTGGGGGTGGGCGTCACGGACTGGAAGTGCACCACGGGCTGCTTCACCTCGTACTGCTTGTACGTGTACAGGGTGGGTGCCTCGGGGACCAGGGCGGGGGCCGCGGTGACGGCTTGCTGCTGTTGCTGCTTGAGGCCGAACACGCTCTGGTAACGGACAACGGAAGGCGTGGCGGGCGTGACAGCGTGCACGGGGACCAGGGGCTGCTGCAGCTCGAACTGCTTGTAGTTGTGCACAGTGGAGGCGGTGGGGGTCACGGACTGGTAGGACACCACGCCAGGGGAGGCCGTCACAGTCTGCACGGAGGCCGGCTGGGAGTAGGACACCACGGCGGGCGCGGGCGTGGACGAAACGACGTCGTAGGGCGCCGGTGTGACGGTGTACGCCGTCTTGCGGACGAACGGCTCCTCGGTGACGGGGGTGAGGATAGCGCCGGCGCTGGAGTAGCCAGACGATCCGTCGGACTCGATGTGCACGCCCTGGATGGACTGCGCGCCCTGCACAACCGTTCCGGAACTGGCACCCAGGCTGGAGGCGGTGGACGCGGTGTAGTCAGCACCTGGGAAGGTAAAAACGAAACAAAACATTAGTGTTGGGATCAGTTTACGCCAATTAAATGAGCATCCAGAAGAGACGCCAGTCATATGTCGTTATGAAACGGCCGAGTTCAGCCCAAGCAAGCTCTCGGAGCGCCTGTCATGTAGACAACATCTTGCATGCAGTGCTTGTGTGTACCGCGGGGCGGCCTACCCTGAGTCTCGCAGGCGCTGAGCTACCATCAATGTGCCGCGGAATGAATCTGCGAAAATCGCACGTACTCTCTGGACGATCCCTACATCTACGTGATCAGCCAAGACTTACCACTGCTGTAGTCACTGCCGGACGAGGTCGAGCCAAACGAGTAGCCAGGGGTGGTCTGCTGGATACCGGATGTGCTGGAGATGCCACCCGAGGATCCTCCAAATGACGAGTAGCTGCTTCCGGATGAGCCGGTGACGCCGAGGGATGATGCACCGTTGTAGTCGTACCCGGCCGAGGCCGTGGAGCCGGTCGACCCGAAGGACGACGCCCCGGAGTTGTAGTAGCCGGCCGTGGACGCGGTCTGCTTGGCGCCGAAAGTAGAGGCGGAGCCCGCGCTGTAGTCGAGACCGGCCGAGGCCGTGGTCTGCTTCGCGCCGAAGGCGGTCGAGGAGCCTGCGCTGTAGTCGTAGCTACCAGCGGTCGCTCCGGCTCCGTTGCTGCCCGCGCTGTAGTCGTAGCTACCGGCGGTCGCTGCGGCTCCGTTGCTGCCCGCGCTGTAGTCGTAACTACCGGCAGCCGCCCCGGCTCCGTTGCTGCCCGCGCCAAAGGAGTAACCCGTTGTCTGCTGTCCGTCGTACCCGGAGGCAGCTGAGGCCCCGGAGGCAGCGGCGGCGGAGGAGGAGGAGGAGGCCTGGTAGGCGGAGCCGGCCTGACCGACGGCGACGCCCTGGATGCCCTGCAGCGTGTGCAGGTTGGCGCCTAAAATGACGCCGCTGGAGCCCTGGCTGCGACCGCCGGACACCTGCGAGGCCGGGAAGGTGGCGAAGCCTCCGTAGCCGCGGTCCTCGTGGCGGGAGCCGGCCTCCTGGGCGGCCTGCAGCGCGATGTAGCCGTTGTTCTCGCCATAGCGGCCGGCCGAGGCGCTTCCGCCCGCGGCCTGGTTGTAGGCGTAGCCGGAGTTGGAGGCGTCATTGGCCGCGAACGAGGCCGACTCAAAGGACGCGTCGGCAGAGTAGCCCGCAGCCGCACCCGCGTCTCCCGTGTACAGGGTGTTGCCGGCGAGGCTGGCGCCGCTCGCATAGCCCGCTCCCGCACCCGCGTATCCTGCACCTGCATATCCTGCACCTGCGCCGCCGATGCCACCGCTCAGTAGGCTCAGGCCCTCGTAGTTAACGGCGCTGCCGGCCGCGGCTCCGGAGACGCGGACGCCCTGGTAGCGCAGCGAGGACGCGCCCGCGCTGCCGCAGCCCTCGACGAGCCACGGCCAGTTGCACACCTGACGGCCCTCGTCGAACACCAGGCCGAAGGGGCAGCGGAACTCGTAGGCCGTCAGCGGGCTGAGGCCGTCGCGGGCGTGGTCCAGACACGCGAAGAACCAGCGGCAGTTTTCGGGGTCGGCGTAGTAACCCTCGGCCTGTGGGAGAGAAAAAGAAACTCTTTAGGTGCGGGCCGAGGACGAGCAGTGGGTCACCGACGACATGGCAATGGATCTCGACACTCACGTTGGGGCAGCCGTACTGGCTACGGGGCACGGGGGCGATCTCGCTGGAGCCCTGGCAAGCACCACCGGGCAGACTTCCGGGCCAGACGCACACCTCGACGCGCTCGTCGAACGCCAGACCGGCCGGGCAGTCGAACTCGAACACGGTGTACTCGGACGAGTACTGGTTGTACTTGACGCAGCGGTAGAACCTGTTGCAGCTGAGTGGGTGCACGAAGTAGCCCTGGCGCGAGCACTCGAACTCGGTGCGCGCGTTCCTGCGCACCGAGTGGACGGTGCCCTCGCGGTCGACCACGCGGACGATCTGATACGGAGACAGCTGCACTGAGCCTGGGGAGGGAGATCAAAGTATACCGTATAGTAAATCAGTATTTGACTGACGGATTGAAGTTGCAAACAGCGATAGTGGAAAGCTTTTGAAGTGTTCTGCTTGCGGGTTTGGCAATGTCTACCGCCCAACAGCATCGTGTTTTCGTCGGTTTTGTTTATGGAAGACCCCAGGGGGAGGTAGGCATGCTATAGTCAGTCAGTTCGAGTGGGTCGCAGTCTGTCGGACCAGTGCAAACAGCATGGGTCAATATAATAACGTGTTGCAATCGATGTGTGCGCGAGCTGCGCCGTCCTGCGTTATTGTCAACAGGTGGGTGCGTCGGTCCGCTCGATATCGCGCTAGGCATGGTCGCACTACCCACCGGTGTAGTCGTTGTACTCGACGGCGTGCTGGTGGATGTCGTTCTCCAGCGAGCTGAGCAGGGCGGCCCTGGTGCGGCGGGAGGACTCGGTGAGGCTCTTGAACGCGGTCTCGAGCAGCGTCATGGGCATGGGCTCGGCCTTCTTGTCCTTCTTCTCGCCCTTCTTGTCCTCCGCGTCCTTCTGCTTCTCCTCGGCCTGCTTGCCGCTGGGGTGGTAGCTGCCGTCGTCTCCGTCAGCACCGGCGACCTGACCCTCGTCAAGACGTGCCTTGGCCTTGGCCTCGTCCGAGCGGTCGTCCTTGTCGGCGGCCTTGTCGTCGTCGTCGTCCTCATCCTCGTCCTCGACAGGCGGCTTGCACGACGTCTGGAGCCAGTCCTCGTCGTCCACGGATTGCAGGGCTAGACCGGCGAGGTCGCGGAGCAGCACGTACTTGGCCTGCGAGCGGAGGAATATATTCGTTACCGGAAAATGTAATTCATCTCCGACATGCTGCAGAGATGCGCCGCCGCTGTACCTTGATGTTGACGGACATGTGGTCCTCGAACGCGATCCAGGAGTTGTTCTTGAAGGCGTACGGGGCGGTGAGATCCTGGTCGCGCTCTACTGACCAGCCTCCCTCGGACATGAGCGCGCACAGCTGCAGAGAGCAGAGCGAGCGGCCAGATTAGTTTTTCATATCGATGCTATCCGTTTCAATACCTCTTTCTGCATCAACTCGCCGCGGTAGCGTCGACGTGTACTATACTCTTTGTTTTTCCTTGCTGGCGACCATGGTGTTCGCCAGCTGTCCGCTACTTTGTATACGATCGATAATGAGAGGTTAACCCGTGCGCACAAATGGTCATGATAAATTCAGTCGCCGGTTTTATGCGATTGCGCCCATTTCCTGCCAGGTCTAGAACGGGCACTATAAGCGTGCTGCTTGGGCAATCGTCTCCCACCTGCTGTTGGGACAGCCTCTCGGGCTCGCCGACGACTGGCGACCTGGGCGTGTCCTTGGTCTCGTCCTTCAGGGTGAATCGGAGGGCGAAGGCGGGCAGGGACACGATGATCTGCTGCTTGGGGGCGCCGAGACCGGTCACCAAGTCCACCAAAGAGTCCTGCAAGGAAAGGAAATGGAGCGGGGTTTAAAATTGGACTGCGAATTGCGTTTGTATTGTAGAAAAAAATAATGAATGTCGTCACGTGTCGTACCGTGTTGAGGAGGTCGTCCAGGCCCATGAGACGGCTGTGGTGGAAGGTGAGGCCCCGTTCGGACTCGTCCGTCAGGTTGTGCGACGGCAAGATAAACCAGTCCACTTGCCTGCACAGCCACATTTGTCACCAACTCGAACTCAAGTTACCGACAGTCTGATACTGTACTGTCGTTTAAAGAAAAACCGCATGGAGACTTTGGCAAACGGGTAACGAGTCTCGGGCTTACTTACTTGGACAGGGCGCGCATGTCGTAGTACTTGGCGATGAGCTCCGGCCTGGTGGGCAGCTGCAGCAGGATGATCCTGGAGGGCTCGTCCTCCTCCTCGTCGTCGTCCAGGTCGCCGTACAGCTCGGCGTATTGCTTGGCCAAGTCGCTAGCACTTGCCTCGGCGCGGCTGGTCCGGGTGGATGACCTCGGGGTGGTCGCCGTCGGCCTGGACGTCTCCGTCGTCATGGTGACCTGCGGGCGAGAATAGCTAATCATCTGACACATGCCTCGGGCGAGGATCGCTGGTCCGGTTTTAATTTCTATCAGAGCCGAACCTCTGGGCCAGGGGAGGTAAAGGAGGAGGGGGGATATTTAGTGGGAAGGTGAT